GTGCCTGGCACATAGCTAGTACCCAATACTAGTTGGACTGAATACTTTGAAAAGTCAACAGTCTCTACTAAAAATACAAAAATTAGCCAGGTATGCTGGTGTAGTGCATACCTGCAATCTCAGCTACTCGGGAGGCTGAGACAAGACAATCACTTGAACCCAGGAGGCGGAGGTTGCAGTGAGCCAAGATCGCACCATTGCCCTCCAGCCTGGATAACATAGTGAAACTCCGTCTCAAAAAAAAAAAAAGGAAAGAAAAAGGAAAAAAAAAAAGAAAAGTCCATTGACTTTACCATCCCCCAGAATTTAAAAGCTATGCATCTCATAGCATTGCTTATAGATTATATGAGACAACGCATGTGATATACTTAGCACAGTGCTGCCTGTCATATGGTAAGCTCCCAATAAATATCAGCTGTCTTTTTTTTTTTTTTTTTTTTTGAGACAGGGTCTCACTCTGTCACCTAGGCTGAAGTGCAGTGGCATAATTATAACTCACTGTAGCCTCAATCCCCTGGACTCAAGCAATTCTCCTACCTCAGCCTCCAAAGGTGCTGAGAGTATAGGCATGAGCCACCACACCCAGCCTCAGTTGGCTTATTGATATGAAATACTATTTCTAATCTTGCAGTGCTTACGTCGTCTTTGGCTTATTACATGGTATTTCTTCCAAACAGTTACAAATATCAATTGCAATGGGAAACACATCTCTAGCTATATTTCACCTACCCAGAATTCTCTAGAATCCTACTCAAAAAGTCTCCAGAAACCAACAAATTTCCATTGCTGAGGTTTTCTAGAAGGTCCAGCAATGTGGGTAACAGGGAGTGGCACCCTAAGATCAAAGCTCTCGGCAGCCTTGACGTGGGACAGATGCCACAAAGGAATAAAATGTCAAAAGAATTCAACATTTTCCAGGGCTACAGCTTTTCTCCTTATGCTCTTTTTCTATATTTTCATCCATTTTCTCATGTGGAACTCGAGTGTACCTTATCTCAAGATACCAAATGTCTGACAGCCACATGTTCTGAGGATGTGTGGTCTTCCAAAGGTCAGAATCGAAAATCAAAGAACTAATCATTATATACCTATGGGGATCCTAAACCATTTTCTAACTACAGAACGTGTTCCAAAAGCTGACTGGAAAACATTTTCTGAACTGTCTCTTGAGGTTTCCAAATAATCAGTATATTTTAATGTAAAACCAATATGTATTTGGGGAGATAATAAAACAACATTTAAAACATGTCCACTTGAGAAATGGACAGTAGAGTAGGAACCCACTTAAGAGGGAGACCATCAGTGGACAAAAGACAAATTTCAGTGATATAATTGTTTATCTTATTCACAATCAATATACCTGGTTGAAAGTACTGGCTTCAAAATACCTATGTAATAAATCAATGAAAAATGAATTAACTAACAGATCACCTGAGAATTACGTGATGATGAAATTTTATGCTTTATGTATGTTTATAATGATGTCTGCCTCCTTATTCCTTTTTTTAGGAAGAATTAAGTGCACTCCGATTTATTCATCCATTCTTTCATTAAAAAAAAACACTTTCTGGGCATTTCCTAAATCCACAGCACTATCCTATGCAAAAAAGGGGAATGAAGGAGCAAAAGACATAATCTCTTTCCTCTACACACTCACAGTCCAGCTAAGCCTATTACATGATATTCTGCATTTTGAGTGGGAACTATGCCACTCCACGTTAAAGATGCCAAATATTCACTTTATTCCAGATGGCTTCCCTGTTATGTTGTCATGAGGCATGTGGCACAAGCGTCATCGTAGGGGTACCTCCTGATTCCCAGAACCTCTCAATAAACCCTATGCTGCTACTGACTGGACGCACCTGGAAGGGGGCTGTTTATGGTGGTATGTAGTTGGGCTCAAGTGCCAAATTCTCATTAACATCAATATATCTCCACTTCTACAACTGACAAGTCAAGGTTTTGAAAACAAATCAAAAATAAATTAAAATTCCTTTTCTATCTACAGTCTCCAAATCAACTAGATATGGAACTAATGCAGACAGAAGGTCCCAATATAAACTCTTCTGTTGTCACCATAACCCAGGATCTTTCATCTCCATCTGTTTTTGTACTTGTGACTGTGTAAGAAGGCATGGACATTTTTAGTAGAACATGGAAATCTACAACAATATTTCATATCTACGCCCAAATTTAGACAACTGATAAATTTGCTCCTCTACTTTGGGCATAAATATCTATACTATTATTTCTGTGTGAGAGACCAAAGAACTAAGAAACTTTGTTTATCTGTGTGTGTGTGTTTTTTTTTTAAGTCAAGGCACCATAAAAGCATATTGAAGTACTCTATCTCTTCTTATCCTCAGTTATAGCAGTCTGGAATGAAGCACCTTTTCTAAATTTTCATTTATTTGGAAAATCTCTTCAATTCTTCTACTGACCCTGGTCAAATCCAACAATGATACTGTCTTCTTTTCAGGCTTTAAGAGTAAAGAAGATATCCCAAAACTTGTGGCTGATTTTATGGCTAAGAAGTTTTCACTGGATGCTTTAATAACCCATGTTTTACCTTTTGAAAAAATAAATGAAGGCTTTGACCTGCTTCGCTCTGGGAAAAGGTAGAGTTTAAGTTAGTTTTCTGTTTTGCTTTTTTTTTCTACCACAGGGGATTGTCTAGCAGAGAATGAAAAAGGTGGAAGGATGAGAAAAAATAGAGTCCCTTGGTTTTCCATTACCTATTTAGTCTTTGCATGCAGCGCTTGTAGGATCATACTGTGAAAGCTAAAAACAGTTGCTTTGCATTTCCTATTCTGCTGAAGTCAAATTATGTTGATTACTGCAAATCTGAATGATCTGAGCCACTCAGCCTTCCTTAAAAGAGAACACTCACATTTGCCAAAAAAAACAAAAAACAAAAAAAACCCACACAAAAGCAAGTCTATTTAAACAACCATAATTATAACATGGTGACTTTGAATCCTCTTCCTTCTACCTATATAAAGCTGACACTAAGTGTCTGCATATTTAAATAATTTTCAGGACATCCTCAACATTTTCATTGCAGGAGTAGGTGGAACTACATTGGGATTGTTTTCTAGGTAGATAATACTAGTTTTTCTCTTTTTCTTTTGTAGTTTAAGAAAACTTTTTTACCAATATAAGTTATCATAAAAGAGAAGAGTACTAAGCACTATTTTAAATGTTTGTCGTACATTTTCTGCGAAGCTTAGAAAAATAAGCCAATTCTGTTTCCTATCTCTAACATTTAACAGTTACAACCAGCTAATAAAATGCATTTTGTCACCTGCATTTACATGAGGCACAACTGGAAACACACAGTTATATCTAACCTTTGTCTTCTAGTCCAGAGTCTGAGATTTTTCTGCTATCCCACACTTATTTTCATGAGATTTTCAACTTTAAATAGTATTTCTTTGGCATTCACACAATCATTATACTAGATACTTTAACTGACAACATTCTTGAGGAAGGAAAGAAACTAGCACTCACAGACCACCGGCTATTCTACTAAGTATCTTACCTGCATTATCTCATGTGATTCCCAAACGATGCTCCTTGTCAGTCTCTATCTCACTATCTTAGGGAAGAGAAACTGAGACACGGAGAAGACCTGACTTTGCCAAAATCATCAAGTGGTAGTAAGGAGAGCCAGAATTCAAAAGTAGGTCTTGTTATTAGCAAATCTATTCACTTTCTACTGCCCCTCAAGAGTGCGTGTACATATGGAAAACAGTAGTCATCAAAGGTTAGTTATCATTGTCATTATTATTACCATTGACATCATCATTGGGATCATCATCATAAGACTGAAAAGATGATGGTAAATATAGAGATGAACAAAACCAGAGGACAGTGTTGAGAAACATAAGAAGTCATGAAGCATGCCTAAATTCATTTTATGAGAATGTCATATAGTAATATGCATATGTAAATATAATTAATCCTATCAATAAGCAAAGATTTAAAATTGTAATATTGAATATTGGTAAGAATAAGGTGAGTTGGGCACTTTCATGTACTTTGAGTAGTAATTGATACATACTTCTGGAAAAGCAATTTGGTAATATGTATCAGAAACCCTTAAAAAAATAACTGAATCATTTGCCCCAACAATTCCATTTCTTTTTTTTTTCTTTTTTTATTTATTTATTTTTTAATTATTATTATACTTTCCGTTCTAGGGTACATGTGCATAACGTGCAGGTTTGTTACATATGTATACTTGTGCCATGTTGCTGTGCTGCACCCATCAACTCGTCAGCACCCATTAGAATGGCGATCATTAAAAAGTCAGGAAACAACAGGTGCTGGAGAGGATGTGGAGAAATTGGAACACTTTTACACTGTTGGTGGGATTGTAAACTAGTTCAACCATTATGGAAAACAGTATGGCGATTCCTCAAGGATCTAGAACTAGATGTACCATATGACCCAGCCATCCCTTTACTGGGTATATACCCAAAGGATTATAAATCATGCTGCTATAAAGAGACATGCACATGTATGTTTATTGCAGCACTATTCACAATAGCAAAGACTTGGAATCAACCCAAATGTCCATCAGTGACAGACTGGATTAAGGAACATTTCCATTTCTAGAAATCTATTCTACAGAAATAATCAACTATTCAAACATACATATATGTTTACTCGTTAGAACTTTAGAAATATTCTAAAGTTCAACACAAGGAAAATAAATTCATAAATTCCAGTCATCTATTAGAAATGAATGAAACCACCAAAAAGAAATGACTTCATTGGGAAATTCTCATGATGTAATTTCAGGCTCATTTAATGAAGAATATAAATTGTATATATTGTATATGCAATGTCTCAAATTTTCATCAAAAACAGTAAAACATGCACATATTTCTAGAAAAAGTTCATAGAAATTCAGGAAAATATTGAGAATTATTTCTAGGTTGGGGGATTATGGATTAGTTTTACTTTCTTCTTTCTGCTGTCTTGCATTCTCTGAATTATGTGCATATATTTTTCTCATATATGCATATGCATATACATATATATGTTAAAAATTAAAATTATTAAAGAGTCACAAAGACCATCATTTTCTAAAAATATTTACTCATGAGAAGTTGGTTTATAGAAGAAGCATTAGTTCTAGTGTAAGTGTTCCATTTGTAATCTTCACAAGAATGAAGAATCTTAGAATTAATACAAATCGACTTTATTCTCTACTTCTAAGAATCCTTAAACATCTCTGTATCAAAGGTCTTTTAAATTTCCATCATGGTCTTTGTTAAATTATCAGTTCTTTCAGGCAAGTTATCCATCATCTTGTGATTTTTGCAAATTTGTATTTGGGTTTGAATCCCAACACTCCATACAAGATGTGCTACTAGAGCAAGTTACATATCTTTCTAAGCCTCAGTTTTTATAATCTCTAAAACAGAAATAATATGGAAACCTACCTCCTAGTGTTGATGTTTAGGTTGAAGTTTAAGAAAATGTGCAAAGAATGTGACAAATAGTAAGAACTAACTGCAAGTTATTATCTAGTGTTGTTTTATATTCCTTATTATACTAGGGATGTGGGCATGCAAAAATGATTTTTGAAGATGCTAATGTAGTATTGAAGTCTAAATGACAGGCATATTCAGGATGTTGTGAGTGAGATTAAGATTGGAGAAAAAAATAAAAATAAAAAATAAAAAGAAAGAGAACACCAAAAAAGATGAACTTCCTTTGACTTGAACCAAATGTATGGGGATGGAAACAGGGTAGCTGGGATCACAGACAGATTTTCACTAAGACAACTCAGATGCTCCTTGGACTCTCACATGGAAGCATGTGGGTGTCTAAATGTTAACACAATGTCTCTTCTTTCCTATTGCAGTATCCGTACCATCCTGATGTTTTGAAACAATAGAGATGCCTTCCCTTGTAGCAGGCTTCAGCCTCCTCTACCCTACATGATCTGGAGCAACAGATGGGAAATATCATAATTCTGCTCTTCAGAGATATTTTCAATAAATTACACATGGGGGATTTCCAAAGAAATGGAAATTGATGGGAAATTATTTTTCAAGCAAAAATTTAAAATTCAAGTGAGAACTAAATAAAGTGTTGAACATCAGCTGGGGAATTGAAGCCAATAAACCGTCCTTCTCAACCATTCTACTGTGTCATCTTTGCCATTGAGGAAAAATATTTCCTGTGACTTCTTGCATTTTTGGTATCTTCATAATCTTTAGTCATTGAACCCAGTGGAGGGGAACCTTCACTTGCCCTGAACACACACCTGCTGGGCCACTGTGCTTGAAATCCCCTACCTCTATCACAATTTTCACTGTTGGCATTTTCCTTTTTTAAATAAAATGTACCAAATTCCTAGGGTAAAAGCTATGGTAAGGTAAAGGATAGACTCACATTTACAAGTAGTGAAGGTCCAAGAGTTCTAAATACAAGAAATTTCTTGGGAACTCATATAAAATGTCCCACATTTACTGCAGTAAAGGGTAGTGTTTTTATGGCTTTTATACTATTTCTTTATGGTTGATGTACAATTGATTTTTAAAAATAATAGCAGATTTCTTGCTTCATATGACAAAGGCTCAATTACCAATTGTAAAAAATGAACTATTTCCAGAATCATGTTCAAAAAATCTGTAATTTTTGCTCATGAAAGTACTTCATTGACTAAATTGTATTAGTCTATGGCTATACATGATTATTTAGATGATGACTGAAAATGCATGTAAAATAATTAAAAGCTATATGCTGGCTTTAAGTGTAGATATGGGGTGGCAAATGCTGTGAATGCAGGAAAAAAATTGATAACTGAGAAATGGCACAAACACCTTAAGCAATATTTTTCCCTAGTCGATATATACACACACATACATATATACACATATACAAACGTCTATTTTTGCAAAATTGTTTTCAGTCTATAACTTTTCTATTAACTACCATGTCTTAAAATCAATTCTATAATCCTAGCATTCGTTTAATATTCTGAATATGTAAGGACCTGTGATGCCCATTTGTTAATGCTTTCCCACTCTCAGGGGAAGGATTTGCATTTTGAGCTTTATCTGTAAATGTGGCATGCAAAGATTATTCCTGGTAAAGGAGGTAGCTGTCTCCAAAAATGCTATTGTTGCAATATCTACATTCTATTTCATATTATGAAAGACCTTAGACATAAAGTAAAATAGTTTATCATTTACTGTGTGATCTTCAGTAAGTCCCTCAGGCTCTCTGAGCTTATTCATCCTTTGTTTTGAAAAAATTACTCAACCTACCCATTACAGCTTAGCCAAGATTAAATGGGATGATGTTAATGAAAGAGCTTTGCCAACTAAGAAGGGCCATGTAATGTGAGTAACTTGATTTTTGGCAAAAATGCTAAAGGTTGGGGGGCGCGGTGTCCCTGTAATCCCAACAGTTTGGGAGGCCAAGACGGTTGATGACTTTAGGTCAGGAGTTCGAGACCAGCCTGGTCAACATAGTGAAACCCCATCTCTCCTAAAAATGCAAAAATTAGCCAGGCATGGTGGCGGGTGGCTGTAATCCCAGCTACTCCTGAGGCTGAGGCAGGAGAATCGCTGGAGCCCGGGAGGCGGAGGTTGCAGTGAGAAGAAATTGTGCCACTGCATTCCAGCGTAGGCGACAAGAGCAAAACTCTGTCATAAAAAAAAAAAAGGAAAAGAAAAGAAGAAAAGAAAATGCTGAAGGAGTTACTCAGGGTCAAGAAACTTTTCAGAATGTCCCTAAGATAACATCATCATGGGACACTACCTGTTGCTGGGTGCTCTGCGACTTTTACACTTATGCTGATGGTGTAAGACCCAGAAAGAGAAAATGGATTTCTACATACCCATCTCACAGCAGGGTCATCAAATCCTGCTAGTGACACAGAAGGTGACATCCAGCTCCCACCCTCCTTCCTTCCAGGTTCGGGGAGCAGGTAGAGTGGGAGCCATTAGGTGGGCTCTGCCAGTGTTGTCATAGAGTGGCACAGTCCCCCATGGGATGGGAGTGGCATGTGGGAGCCTTCTGCATCATGCATTATGAAAAAATAATTACTATGGGACAAGTGGTTCATATAGTTAAGTGATTTTATATATATATATATTCCAGTGTAGAAATTATTGGCTAGGTCTGTAACCAAGTATTGCACAGAAGTGTCTTCATAGGTGCTGAAACAGGATTATGAGAGTGACAGACACAGGAATGAACAAGACAGGGAGAAAATGTGCATGGTTGTGAGAATATATTGCTTTGATTCTTTGACTTCTCATGATATATGAAAACAAATAAAGTCTGGGGTTGACTTCAAAAATATCATG